TTAAGCTTAGATGTGTGGGTGTTATAATGGTTAATGGCTTGGAATTGGAACCCAGAGAGTCAAGTTTCAATTCCAGTTAGGTTCGTTAAATTCACTTACAAGCAAATACTCTAAAGGAAAGAATATGAATCTACAGCTACTCCTCCCAGCTATTAGCAAGTTAATCATTATTATCTCCCCCACCCACAAAAAAATTCTCTCAATATAAAAATATTTTCTGGCTTTAAATAAACTGCAAAGGGTTGATAAACCGTCAAAAATGAGTCAAAGAAATAAACATAATTGAGTGTGTATGATGATAGGTTCTTGCCAGAATAAACTTAACAAATATTTGCATTAGCTTACAGTCAGGCTAATATCCTTATCTTTGTTATTCCAACATCTTGGTTATTGCGCCTGTCAAAACATTGTGATAATAACAACAAAGATGAGGATATTAGACTGAATGTAAATAATGGAAATACTGATAACTCCTCATCATCCTGGAATTTTTTAAGAATAATTTCCCCCCTCAAACAAAGCAATAAAGCCACTAAGACACAAAGATGTTACTGAGAGTGAATGAAACATTATTGAGAAGAAAGGACAATAAAAGAACAGCATTCAAAAAGACAGAAGATGACAATCAACATTACATTTAAATTAAAGATCGTAGTTGACAGTAAAGCAAGAAGCCAGAAGACAGTTCCACACATGAGAAGTGATAGAGAAGAAACTGTTAGAATAAAACTTATGGTGATATTTAGCAATTTCAATGGTAAAATGATGAGACCTAGCTGCCAATCTAGTACTGCACTTAAATTTGTGAAGTCATGTTGCCAATGTAGAAAGTAATACTTATTTTAAAAAATACAAAATTGTAGCACAAGGCCAAAAGTGCGGGGATAGGCAAAGGCTTATCTTCAACCTGTCTTATCTTAAACTTAGCTAGCCACAATTACTAACCCAAACATACCACAGTATTCCTTACACCCAAACAACACATTCTTACTTACCATTCTTACTGCAGCCACCATAATACCTGAAGTCTCTATGAAGTCCTAACTAGTTCTCATTTGTATAATTTGTCTGGTGGTGGTAGTGGTGGTTTTGGAGTGGGATAAAAATACCAAAGAGGAAAATTCATCAGAACAATTACCATGAAAATATTTCTAGAAAAGCCACAGGGAAGCTATGTTATGGTAGTAAGTGACTAAAACTGAGATGCCAGGTCAGGGCTGATAACATTGCAGATTCTTCTTTGGATTTTACAAGAATCTCTAAATACTTAGCAAGAACAGAAGACCAGAAATATTCAAAGCAAATATCAATTAAAGATCATTGCTGTAAATTTGCTTGTTAACATTAATCCTAGACATAATCTGTCAATACGTAGCAGAGGCAGCGGCCTGAATGTGGCAACCATATTCAATCCTCAATTCAGACAGAACTTAAAGTTAATAAATTTTGATGCAAAATTATGCAAATTGGCAGCTTGCAATGTGACTGGTGAGCTTGAGGCATTGTAAACCATAACAAGACAACCATTGTTGTTGACAGGAGAGTTCTTTTCTTTTCTGAGACTATATATATATATCTTCTTGTACTCTAAGACTATATATATATCTTGTACTCTGAGACTATATATCTATATCTTCTTGTACTCTGAGACTATATATATATCTTCTTGTACTCCTTGTTGTCTGAGGCTATATATATATTTTCTTGTACTCTGAGACTATATATATATCTTGTACTCTGAGACTATATATATATATATATATCTTCTTGTTCTCTGACATTATATATATATCTTCTTCTTATCTGAGACTATATTAACAGTGCTTTATTTTTGCTAAGTGATGACTTGGGTTAGTCATATTAGCAGGAATAACCTGGCTCTACAGATTACATAAATAAATTTAATGATTTAAGATTGTTTCATGGTAATTGTTTGGATGAACTCTTCACTATGCTACCTAGACTGGCGATGTGGTCTCATCAATTTACAGTTGAGTTGGCTAGATGTAACCGTAAGTTCTATGCTAACAGTTTCTTTTCTCGCACTTCTTGCTTGTGGAACTCCCTTCCAGCTCCATGCTTTCCAGTCAACTTTAATCTTCAAAAATTTAAATGCAATGTCAATCGCCATCCACTTTCCTTCTGATTACTCTTTTTGTTTTCACTCATTATTAATGTTTCTATTTCTAATTCTTCCACTCCCCATAATCCCACGTGCCTCAGTGGTTTTACTACATTTCATGGGGTGAACTTTATTAAAAAATATATATATAGAAAACTAATTGTGTTGCTCAAAGCTTTTTAAGATATAAATGATCTAAGTATATAAAACCAGGATTTTTTTTAAATAAAAAAAAGTTTCTTTGTTGCTGGGATTAATTCACCTCCCCATAAGTGCAAATCTGACACAAGGTCATATTTATTATGGGGTTCCACATGTTTATATGTGGCGAGCAGTAAAACTTGCCCAGTTTCTTGCCGCCATTTCTGCAAAAGCATTGGGCCAATATATGACCTCTTCTCTTTAGTGGAGTGGGGTGGTACTGCCTCAAGGTTGGGATCTCCAGTTGTTATCTTCTCTTTTATTTCAAGCCTGCATTTTTTTTTCTCTTGTGTGCTTGGGGTGTATATGTATATGTTGTTTTGATTGTTGTTGATCTTCTATTGAAGTATGAGTTGCTTGTTATTGTCTGTGTGTTAATTGCTTTGTCTATATGTCTGTCTGTCTGTCTGTTGTATACTCTTTTTTTCCTATTTGTTGTTTCTATGTGTTGTTGTTGTTGTTGTTGTACCAACAAAAACCCCAAATAATCCTTCCAATTTCCCTGCTAAACACAAAACAGAAGTAAAAAAAAAAAAAAAAAAATGAAAAATTATTTATATTCATATTATTTTACAGATTTTAGAAGCATATAAATGATTGGCAATCTTGAATCTTTATGCCCACCAAAAAAATAAAGTGGCAAAAGGATGGTTTTTCCTTTGACGCTGCTATTATTTTAACTACCTTCACTCCTTGGTAATATTTATTGTTTCAAAAACCGATTGTTTGAATTTTAATAAGACCTAAACATTCAAAAGTAAATTTTTACATTTTCTTTGTTCTTGAGAAGAAAAAAATATTAAATACTATTTATTTATTAGATCGTTTATTGGAGTGGTTGGCAAAGCACTTGCTAATTGCCAATCAATTCAAACATTATAAAATGGTAATTAATAAGGATTTCCTTATAGTTGGTTTATGTATTTTAATATTTTAATATTGCATTGCATTAGTTTTAATTGCATTCCCTTTTAGGATGTTGTCAATATAAAATTATTCTTGCAAAATAAACAATCTAAGAAATAAATAGTATTTAATATTTTTGTTATAAATTCTCAAGAACCAAAAAAAAGTATCAATTCTCTTTTAGGTTTTATTGCAATCATCGCTTGTTTTATACTAATCATCACTTTTTAAAATGATAGACATTGCCAAAGTGTGAAGGTAGTTAAAATAAGAGTGATGTCAAGGGAAGTTGACAGGTACAAAGTTCTAAGTTTGCCAATGATTGATGTGAAATATCCGAACAACATTTGTAAGATGGAACACGGGAAAGCCAGTTGAAAAACCTTTTTATTTTCTTGTTGACATTTCAATTCTTCTTATGCAAACATTATTAAAACCTAAATGAAACAGATTTAAGAGAAAGTCATTGCCATAGCAAACCTGATACTTAGTATTTAAGATATTATAGTTAAAATATTTAACTAATATCTATTGTATACTATTTCTTTAAGTATTATAAATTTTGTTACCAATACAAAATTAATGACAGCAAAAAAATAGACATATTTTAAATATGGAGCTAAAATCAAGAAAACTGACATTTAATACAAGAAAGATATATATATATATATATATATATATATATATATATATATAATATATATATATATATATATATAAGACAGATATCATAATTAACTTTTGTCCCATAATATCTGTGACGTTTACATATATATTTCATATACTAAATGTAGCAAATATTATGGGACAGAGGCAATATTTTACTTTTGTTCTTTCATTCTCATCCCTTTATGATATTTTACAAATTTATTTTGATCTCCCATGGCACTGAGGTCAACACCAAGTGGTGACATTGTGTTTCATGCGTGAAAGCAATCTTCAGGCCATGTATTGACCTCAATATCCACTTTTATATTTACATACACTCTATCTCTGATATTGAGCACTTTTACCTATAAATATAGCATACTAAAAACTAAAGTTGTATCATTCATATATATATATATATATATATATATATATACTTGATATATATATATATATATATATATATATATATATATATATATATATGCAAATATATGGATATAGATCCGACAGTATGAAGAAAAATATATTGAAAAAACAAACAAAAATCCTAATATGCGATTATGCTGTTTTAATGTTTAATGTCAACGTCGGACGTTTCGGTCTAATAGACCATCTTCAGGACATATTCATAAAACATAATTAACATAGACCATATACAATTCAACATGAAAAAGACAATGGACATAAAAGCAATACCAATCCAAACAGATAACTGAAATCTTTTATAAGATCAGCGTTCCATTTAAATATGATCACGTCGTCGTCATGACGTTGACAATAAACATTAAAACAGCATAATCGCATATTAGGATTTTTGTTTGTTTTTTCAGTATATTTTTCTTCATATATATATATATATATAACAAGTATATATATATATATATATATATATATATACAACTTGACTTAACCTCTTTTTTGAAAGTAACTAATACAATAGTTGTCAGTGAAAATGTAAACCCTACCGCTCCTTATTAAAATGATTGGTTTTCTCCATATCCATAGAAATTAATATTATGAATGTATATGCTTATAAAGCTCTGTAAATTTCAAAATTTGTTATTCCAAAATTAAGCGAGGATGAAACAGAGCTGGGTACTTTAATTTAATTTTTATAATT